GACATACGAATACTAGATATGTTAATGAGATGTGCAAATACAAGATATGTTACTGAGATGTGGAAATACAAGATATGCGAATGAGACGTGCAAATACAAGATATGTTAATGAGACATGTGCAAACACTAGATATGCTAATGAGACGTGCAAATACAAGATATGTTAATGAGACGTGCAAATACTAGATATGTTAATGAGACTTGCAAATACTAGATATATTAACAAGGCATGCAAATACTAGATATGTTAATGAGACATGTGCAAATACTAGATATGTTAATGAGACGTGCAAATACAAGATATGTTAATGAGACATGTGCAAATACTAGATATGCTAATGAGACGTGCAAATACTAGATATGTTAATGAGACATATACAAATACTAGATATGTTAATGAGAAGTGCAAATATTAAATATTCTAATGAGACGTGCATACTAGATATCTAAAAAAAAATCAATACCGGTAAACATGATAATCTGTTGTGAATTCATACATATCTCACCTCTGCATACTCTGGATTGATTCGAATAGCACTATTAAAAGCCTCAAATGCTTTCACATAATTAACTAGCTCCATTTGACACATACCAATCAGGAACTGGACCTCAGCAGCTTCCTTTGGCCATGGTTCTTTATCCTGCCATGGTTTCTATAGAAAAAAGACAAATCAGAAGATTACATACAACAACATGATCAGAAGTATAATTCTCTTGCAGTGATCATGAACTTTGACCTGAGCAGCAGCTGGTCACATATTTGCCTGGAAGTGGAAATGGTTTGATGAAAAAAAAAAATGTTTTTATTCAACTTAAAAAAGTATTGCAAGCAAGTATTGAGAATGAAGAAGCTACAATAAAGCGTAACTGAACAAATACTGTGTAACCACCGATGTAAAGCCCTTGGCGGGGTATGGCTATTCAGGGTTTTAACTGATTGTCTGTTAAAGTGTTAAGACAGTGTATAAGTAAATATAATGTACAGAAAACTTTCTTATCAACAAATAAAGGTTAGCTTATTTAACGCCACTGTTGCATAATAGCCATTTCCAGACTTTTACTTTTTCATCTATGGCCTAGAATCTAACCAGGTTTTTACGCAAATCTTGACTAATGTTCAAATAATCATAAATTTAGCATACAATAAATACTATGATATTCATAGTTATATTATAATAATTGCCAAAAAATGAACAAGTTTTCAATCTTGTAATGGTGAAACATGCAGGTTTACTTGATCTTTCATCAGACGTGTTGTCTGTATGCTGACAATAGACACTGTGATCGGCTTTGTTCTACATGTACATCTTTTATATAGCCAGAAGGGGAGTTTTTGTGAAAATTATGTTAACGTTCTCAAATTCTCAAATAATATGTCCTACCACATGTAAATGAAGTGAGAAAACAATGCATGTCAGCAGAAAAACATGATACAGCAACATAAGCTAGAAGCAAGAAGTGAAATGCAGTGAAAATTAGAGCAGCATGCAGTTATCCTGTAACAAAGATGAACAAATTATTGATAAAATATGTACAGACACTATTCAGTAAGTAGCAGTTGGTACCTAACATTGAAAAGCAGAACACAGACAAAAAAGCAAGAGTTAAAGCAACTGATATATAATTAAGAAATACACATCCAACATGTTTTGACCCATGACCCTACAAATCATTTAAACCTGTGACATTAATATACATAATTTGACCCTTGACCCAACACACATATTTGACCCTTGACCCGAGCACACTTCAAGCTTACCCAAGCAGGCATCACCATATGTTGTCGCTGTTTACGCTGATGAAATGAAATGAACATGAAAGATGAATTGGTGAATATTGAAATGTGATTTGAATATAATAATATGATTTATGAATAAGCAGGCATGCAATTTATCAATTATATATATGTTATGATTATCATTATTATATTTTTATTTATTACTTTCTACACATATCTGTCAATAGATTCTAAGAATTTTTAACAAACCAGACTTGACACAAGTTTGCAGGAATAGACACTGGTTAGCATGACAATATCCATTCATTATTGTTCATTCATTAATAATTAATCAACAAGTTATTCAGAAAGACAGGGCAAGAAATATTCAGTGCTCCTGTCATTCCAGGCACGTTTTTGAACAAGATATGACACATTTGCATTTAGCAAATACCTGGTAAATGTAATGTATGTCTTTATAGTCAAGTTGTAAGTGATTTCAATTCATTGAAAACTTGTGTCAAGATAACTTACAAATAATATATATAGCATGTTACAATTGAAAGGGACAGGGATAATGAGTGATCTTAGGAGGCCAACTCAACTGAAATAGGAATACATTGCAATGAAGATGTAGAAAAATGGTTGCCTCCATGTTAATAGAAAGAAAGAAATCTTTTAACTAGTAACCTTAATATCCAACGCAGTCTGCATTGTCTGTCTCTGTAAGGAGAACAACAACAATAGAACAACAATGAAACTCACTTTTCCAGGAATCTGTATTCTACATACAGAGTAATGCGCCATGACAAACATGGGTGTACTACACTAAACAGGATTTCTCATATTGGGTACAATTTTGTAAAACACATTGTTTTTTTAGAAGATGATAACAAATGGTGGGTGGTTTATCATTGTTTTTAGGCATATACCGGGTAAATGCACATTTCTGATTTTGCACATTGCAAAATAATATTTGTAGATTGAAGCAGCATCAAGCATTAACCAACAGCTTCTAAAGAAAAGTCCTACCAGAGTGAAAAATATTACAGAATAATAATTTCTGAAAATATAACAATGGAAAAACTAAACACCTGTTATTTAATATACTCTGCACTTATGTACAGCACCAAGCACACTGGATTAATACAAATAATTACAAATAATCTTGTATTATCAAGGATAGTTACCAGACACAGGAATTACAAGCTGAAAAGTTGAAGAGGGAGGGTAGTGCTAGATTTTATATAATGATAGTGGTAATTGAAACGCAATTATTACTAACTTTAAATTTGATATTTAATAGATTTGGAAATGCCAGTTTCCATTAAAGATAATGATTTGTCATGGTCAAAAATAAAAATAAAATCAATTTCAAAAAATGGAGGACAACAATATTTGTGTCAATGTATCCTTCATTCCTACAGCCAAGAGTGTCAGTTCTTGTTCACTACCATCTCTCCTCAAATACTATTTTTTGCAGACACTGGTAATCAAAAGATACTATTTAACAGATTGAAACTTTACAGATTGTAGCTTTACAGATGTACAGCTATGGACATAACAATCTTGAAGACAGATCTACTATTTACACTATGTAGGCACCACAGTGGTTATTGAAGACTACTATTGTAAACTATACATACCATTAATTCCAGGGCTTTTTCTAGACTCTCTATTGCTTGATCATGTTTCTTATCCTTGATCTGTGTTTTACCGAGTAATACGTAAGTGGGGACGGTGGGTCTGACTCGGGATGCTGCAGATAATGATTCTGTTGCTTTGGAATATTCCTGTAGAAATGGAGAAGACGGCGGCTTGCTGTGTTGCAGATACTCCAAGACCACTGCTTAACTCAGCTGCATGTCTGAAAACAGAATACAGAAAAATTATAATTTTTTAAAATGGTAACACAATTATGATAATTCCATAAATTCTTATTTTCAATTGTTATTATATAAACGAAGACTGAACATGGCATGGATTTGATTCAGAATCTATAGCTTGTTCTTTAGCCTTGCTTTTCTCAGTTTTTTAGATTGCCAAAATCTTTATTTTTTGTCTTCCTAATCTTATTCATTTTTGATTTAGAGCTAAGAGACCTGTCTGAAATATTCATTGTAAATTTATTTATTGTCAGTAATCCAGTTAGATAATTTTGAGTCACAAGTGAAACAAAAAAGTTTTATGCAAATTAGCTGATAAATGTGCATATTGCACCGTTTTTGTTTTTTAAATAATTGTAAAACACACACACACAGAACATTATTTAAAATATAGTTTCTCTCACCTTACACAGAAACTAGCCAAGTCCAAATTCTTCATCTCCAAAAGTATTTGGCCCTAAGAATAAGCAAAATCAGCAATCAGTACAAAATCACTGATTTTAAACGATAAAAGTGGTTAAAAAATAAATCGTTATACAAAGTGCTTTTTTCTGTAAGAAATTCCCACAGATCAAACAAGAGACTTGACTGTCTATGCACACCATACTTTCCTGTAATCAGTGTTGTACTTAATATAATTATAAAAAGTTATCATAAACATTTGTAATTAAATACCAAGTGGTGTTGAATTCAAGAAAAAAATAACAATTTTATATACAATAGTACCAGTAAATGAATTTCTGAGAGAGCATATAGGATCATTTTAATGACATTAGAAACAAGTACACAAAGCCATATTTGGGTTGCAATAATAAATAACTTTAACTGGTTATTCCTATTTAAATTAATTATTTTTTCTTAATTTTTTGTGACATTTCTGGACATTGAAGTCACTCCTGTCCCCCCAGTTGTTTTTCATTTTTGGTGCTAATTGCAGGTGTACATGTGAACCAGTGAGAGTAGACTGTACTCTGATTTTAATATACTGTAGACAGTCAGCTCCAGAAATTGGACCCAGAACCTCCTTGATGTGAGGTGAGCACATTGTACCATTGCGTATATGTTTCCTATTAGCTGGTTGTTCCAATATTATAAACATTATGTAATGTGTGGAAGTGATAATCAAATACATAACTTACTCTATTCATATATAGATGCTGCAAATCTGGTTTGAGATGAATGGCTCTGGTGTAGTCCAGCAATGAATTCTTTAGCTATAAGAAACAATGCATTGATAAGGGTTACTTCAATAAACGATAATATAAATTATTTCTGAGTTAATGTGTACATGGTAGATACAAGATACATAAAATGACACTAAATGTACTACATATAATAATATTAAGAATGGTGGAATAAGAAAAAGAATATGCAAACTAAGAATAAGTGACCATCCCTTAATGATTGAGAAAGACAGGCATATAAGGCCATAGGTTAAAGTTGAACACAGGATCTGTACAAGATGCAACACAAATTCAATTGAGGATGAATTCCATTATGTTATGAAATGCCCACAGCATATT